GGAGATATCATCAAGCCTTGCTGGCAACAAAAAGAACTAACAAAGTGAAAGATAAGACTGATGTACCTGCATAACAAGCCTGCTATTCCACTGAGAAATTTCAGTGAAACTATAAACCAGGAAAGCTGAGTTAAGGTAGTGTGCAGTTACTACAGGATCCCACATTATGCCAGTGCAATTCTTTCACCTGACTGCATTTTTAATACAGAGTATCTAGAACAATTAAACATTTTTGCTTGTTTTTTCTTGTTTAAAAAGTGCAATGGAGGGTTTGTAAATTGCCTATCAAGTTTCTAAATTAGAAACTGAAAGCAGAATGAGCATCAAGTGTGGAGAACCATTAAGCAGCCCAGTTGAACTACTAGCTTGAGTAAAAATCCTGACTTCTACTCACTCTCCCATTGGTGTGGGCCTCAAAGATTTAAGATGAAACAAGCCTACACTAAGGCAGCTCCAAAGGAGAGGGAGAAAAAGCTGGAGTCAGCCCTCTGCCTATGAGGACCAACAAAGGCTTCCTCAAACTATTGAATGAAACTGGAACCCAAGCAGTATCTGAAATGGATGCTAACACCAGGGAAGAGAGGGAAACCCCAACCAGGAATGTGTAGAACAGCAAACTTCCTTCAGGAATGACAAGCAGAGGAGAAAGAATAAAACAAATCTACTTCCCACCGAAGAGGCAGGTTATTGCTGCTGATGGCCAAACTTGGAAGTGCTGAGCAGCAATGACTGAAAGCAGTGATCAAACTGCTCAGTTTTTACATTTCTAAAGGTTTTTGTATTATATCCACTCAGGCATCAATCACAACATTATTAAACCACAAAAGAGATGTCAGATCAATGGCTGTATCAGAAACATTTTGAGTGATAGGCTGATGATAGAACAATTACAGCCTCTATACATTATTAAACACATACTAATGTTGCTTTTTCAGTGCTACCCTTACAGACTCACACACTGTATTCTCCCTTCATAGTACCTTTTTTAATAACAGACCTAATTTTAGGTGAATATTACATAGGAAAAACAAGACTTACTATAATAAATAATAATAAACTAGGAAAAAAATTCAAGCCTTAAACCTCTTGTCTATCTTCACATTATGCCTTCTGGCATTAAAATTTCATTTTAATACAATTGTAGGAGCTGAGACTGGGTTGTCAGCCTTAATCAGAATATTCAGAGCTATTGCTTTCTTGCTGTAATCTTGACATAATTTAAGCTTAGGTTTTCTTTATATATTTGCCCACAGCTAGCACACCCATGTAAATGCTTTTTGCTCTTTTTGAGTGAAGAAGTATCTATGAAAAATACATATAAATACGGCAGAAATCACCCCTCTGGCAGATTGTCTGCTTAACTCCAGATTTCAAGCAGAATGGGGAAGTGATCAGAGCAGTACACGTGCCTCTCAATTAATCAGCAACAAAAACTATTTTCACCCACAGAAATCAATTTGATTTTCAGAAAGGCAAAAAAGACTTGTGTTCTTGGTGGATAAAGCACAAAGCACAGTAACTGGGACATACAAATGCTGTACCAATTTCTCTCACCACACAGGAGCATAGGGTCAAGATGCCAAAAATGGCACACCTTTACCTCCTCTCTCCCTCCAGTGCCCTATACAATCCTTTGCCATTGGAATCAAGCAAAGATGGATTTACAGTTTTTCCTGGCATCTTGATAGCCTGATTAGGCATCCTCCTGATTGGGGAGTGCTTGGTATAGCAGAGAACTCTAATTTTATGAGGACAATTCAATAATAGATAAGAATTAAGAATGTTAAAAATATAATAAAATGAAATTAAATATGCATTTTTTGTGAGTTCAGATAGAAAGAAAACTTCTTGCCCATATTCATGGCAAATAGTTTCCTAAACAAAATTATTTGTGTTTTGGAGGGAAGGATTTACCTAGCACAAGGGAAATGCAGCTGACCGTGAGTGAGTCTATAGGAAAGCTACTTTGTTTTGACTGCTGAATTGGAAGCTCCCAGATAGAAGTGAACACCCTTAGCAGCATGAAGCCCAACCTGGGCTGGTGACCAAATAATCAGGTGAATGGAGGCAGCTGCCCCCTGGATTCTCAAGGGTTTTAATGTGTGCTTCAGGGCTGACAGATCAAAACACAAATCCAGTTTTAGGATGGAGGCAGGAAATGGCAGAAGCTGCTGTTACTGAGGTCACTCACCTCACCAAAGAGCTAAAGAGTGAAGGGAGATGGAATGGCTCCCGCTGTAAAGGGAGATGGAATGACTCCAGCCTGGACAGAGTATTTTAGTGTTTTAAAGAACATCAAAAGACTGAGTAATTGCCACAAGATACAAAGATGCATAGACCTATGTGCTATTGCTCTAGCTCTCTCACTAAAGAATAGATTTTCTGTTGAAGCAATGTTTTAGAAACCAAGTGTTCATCCTGAATCAGGCAAGTGTGGAGGTGGTTTTGAAGTCAACTCTCACTTAAGTGACCACAGGGGTCTGTTTCGGCTGAAAAATGTTACGTTAATTAGCAAAATGCTTTTTCTAAGAAAGTGAACATATGAAAGCCTTCCAATAAAAACTGCTTTGCATACTGCAAGCTTTTAAATTAAATTGGGACAGAGTTACTGCCAACAGTGAGTAGAATTATTTGTGACTTTTTGTCTTGTTTGCCTAAAAAAATCTGGCTGGTTTCTTGAAAGGTAGCTGATGGCTCTTTATTGCACTCTGTTGCACAGTTTTAAGGATAAAATTGAAAAATATATTCATAATAGAAATGTATCATTTATATCTTTTATCTCCCATAAAACCTAGTCCTGCTGAGGTGCTCACAGTAGTATGGCTTGGATTTGGCACAATTCTTCCTGCTTTATGCTCTCAATGCTCCCCTCTCTGGACTAAAACTCAGAATTCCATATAAATGAAGCAAAAATATCTCTAAATATATCAAATCTCTAAATAGCTGGTGTTCCCCACATTGGTTATTTTTTTGTTGTTGTTGCTGTTTTGTTTTTTTTCTTTTTCTGTAACAGAATACATGCTGAAGAATGAATTTCACATCTGGATGGATACATCCAGCAAAACTGCTACTGGCAGCCCAAATAATGACTTCTGACAGGAGGAATTCCCAACAGAAGAAACTCTCTATGACATCCATGATTATACTGCTCACATGAGTATTTAAACTGAATTTGGTGCTGATGTTGTTTTTATCTAAGAGAAATCCTGTATGTGTGAAAATAGGGTGTCATTTGAGATGTTTGAAAAGCCTATGGATATTGTAGCACTCATCAGTTGTTTACTCTTTCTTGCTCTTTAAGCTCTTTAAGTTTTCTGCAAATTACTTAGGAGTTGTACAGATAATAAACATAAACCTGTATGGTATACCTCTGAATGTATTTCAAGAATTTATCACAGGGAATGCTGCAACCTTGAAAGATAAAATTGCGTAAAGAGCTAGGAAAGCAAAGGAAAGATTTTCATTTGGTTGCAGTAACATGAGTTCAGACCTCAGGATCTCAGGATCCCACTTGATGACTGACTGCCTCTCAGAGTCCTTTGCCTGACTCCTCAGATGGATTTGTTACTCTAAGCACTGTAACAGTGGTCTCAAGAAAGAAGAGAACATTAACTGGGAATTTTCTAGTTTGCATTAAGATTGTGAGACAATGAGTGCAGAAGACAATGTCTGTTAAGTGTTATGGAATTGAAAATGACAGGCAGAGGAAAAAATTCATAGGAGCTGCCCAACAGCATAATCAGAATTCATTTTCCATTTCTTTGCCTTAACTGTTAAACAAGCTTTGGAATCACAATAATTATACATGCAGAAATTCTCACTAGACCAAGTATTTGCTTCACTTTCATGAAGGGAAAAATGCTGAGATTAACTTTGCCATTACTTTGCCAAGTAATTCCTACTTCTTTTGATTATTGAAAGCAACCTTTAAAATGTCAGGAATAAACAATGAACCATCATGTTTAAGTTTCGTCAGAAAAAAATACAGAACTCTTAGATCTTAACTAAGATTTTTTAAAGAAGTGGGAAGAGACACTGGAGATAGAATTAGATTCAAGAGATAAGAAAGAAGCAGCAGAAGAAGTCAGGAAGAGAGCCAACACAGTGAGTTAAATAACTTTGTACAGATACAACTGTATTAAGTACCTTATTAAACTAAAAAAAAAGGTGGAAAACTGCATTCCTATAGGTTAGGATCAAGTAGAACAGTGGTGAAAAAAAGGGTAAGTGCATAACAGAGCATGTTATGTAATTACATGTTTCATTCAATTATTTAATAAAGAGCATGTGTCCTAAAGTAAACAGAAGTGTAATATGTAATGACTGTACTTTTGCAAAAATTTACATTACATGCAGCATGCACACATTCACATATCAAACCATCATTTATGGTGTCCAGCTGCTGTATTTTAGGAACTTTTCAGAGAGCTTAAAGGATTTTAATTAAGAGTAGTTTTTGCCTTTCTCTGACTCTGGGGGAGTTAACTGAGTATGACCTACACAGTCTAAAAAGAAAATTTGAAAACAGTTGTTGAAATATGCATATTTAAATATGATATATTAGAAACACAGCTGGCCTTGACCAAAAATCCCATTTCTAAGCCTGGAACAAAATGCAAATGGCTGGCTGCTATGATTTGAAGTGAGTAGTATATACCACCACAAAGCCAGAACTCCTGATCCCAGCGGTATGAAACTTTCTCCACTGACAAGCAAACAATTTAAAAAACAAATTGATAGAGCAGTACTTCTACAATTATGAGTACAGATAATTCCTCTTAAACATAGATCAGGTTTTTTTTGGCTTCCCTTTTTCTTCTTCTTCTTGTTTTTTCTTTTTTTTTTTTTAGGACTTATTGTTGATTGTTTTTTGGTTCGGTTTGGTTTTCTTGTTGAGGCCTTCTTTTCCCCTTCAAAGGCCTTGAAAGGGTAGTCAAGTACCTAAGGAAAATCAGTAACCAATATTTGCTGTGCAATAGAGGAAAAAAGAGTGATCTTACCGTTCCTGTTGTGCCCAAGGAAAGGTGGTTCATCTGTTGGGTCAGAGGGCCCATCATACTTGCTGGCTGCATTGACATAGTGTGGTCCATTGTTGGTGTTATCACAGCACCCTAGAAACACACATTATTTACAGTTCAATCCCTCACATTCAATTAAAAAAAAAAAGAAGAAGAAGAAGAAGAAAAAAACCCAGGCATTCTTTAAATGAGTGAACATGACTGAAAACTTGACATGAATCTTAAAAGACACTAATATATCTGTCAGAAAAAATATGTTTTGTTCCTATTGACAACCAAGCTACACACATATATTATTTGTATTGCTAATGAGGCCATTTTATGTCAGCTCCAATTAAGTGTCATTTTTTACTTCAATGCTTCTGACAAACAAATGCATATGTTCTTTCTATGATGAATGCTACTGTACATTGCAAAATGCCTGTCATTTCCATTTTTCCATATCCTATATAGAACAATCTTACAGACAGAACACATATGTCCCAAATTTTCTCTGATTTCTAAAGCCTTCAGTCTCAGAGATCTTCAGCCTATTATGGTAATGATCTTGGATTTTTACAGTTTTAATTAAGAACCCTTATTCATGGTAGTTTATAGCTGCTTAAGTAAGACTAGCTATTGACAGTAAGTTTGGTAGTGACACCCATTTAAAACACATACAGTGTTTTAAAGCATTTTTCCTCTCTCCATGAAAAACAAAGACATTAATAAAAAAGAGCATATGTACTAAAGGAAGATTGAGACTTTGACCAAAAAATGAAACAAAAGACATGCCAGAGGAGCTTTAGAGAGAGAGCTTATTTGCCATTCATATTCCTTATTTTTCAGTCTCCAGCTCCCCAAAGACCCATGTTGGCAACATCATTACTTAGAGAAGTGTTGATTCTCTTCAGTTCTATGTTGTAAAATGCTATTTCCTGTGTTGGTTAGAAAAAGTCAGTCAAAAAGTGTGGTCTGCTCCTTTTCTTGCAGATAGTGATAGTATTTCCAGTCATTTCTTCATACAAAATAATAACTTTACTTTGTATGCATCTTTGTGTGCATTCATCACAAACTTGCACAATCACATTACATCTACTACAAAGCGTGAAAAATGTAGATGAATGTATCTGTTCAAAAAAATTTACTTTTTTTCCGCTTCAAGAATACTGGAAAAATTCACCTATAAACAAACTTGTTTAACCAACCTGTAAAACAAACGTGTTTCAAAACTCATAGCATATCTGTTCTTACATGTCTATCTCACATTTACATAGAACTATTTTTGCAAAGGATCTGATTAGAAAGATTTCAAATTTTCAGCTGCAAATAGAAAGAAATAAAAACAATTCTGATTGCTTGGCAACAGCAATTGGGGAAATATCAATTCAATTTTGACTCACCTTCCAGCAATATTTTTTCTACACACATCCTATCTGAGAAGTATAGAGTCTAGAAGGTAGGCTCATTTTGGTCAGTCTTTTTTGTAATACCCTCAGCATATGAAATACATCCACATTTGTTTTATGTCACAGAGTGGATTATATTTCTTGCATTGACAAGAGTCCCTAAAGAAATCTGACAAATTACAGAAGCTAGCCTCCGTGGAGTATCTCTCATGATTCCAAATAAATGCTTAGGAAACAAGCCAGTCAGTGTGCATGTATCAAACCTGCAACACTTGCCACTTTTGCCACTTTATTGGCTATTAATGATTTGCACTGGTTTACGTGGATTAATTTATTGATTAGTTAATTTAATGAACTACCACACATTGAAATCTTCCTTTTGGGTGAAAGAGTCTAAAAGCAAGTCTTCAGGGCACACACCCATTCAGCCCATCCAGCAGTTCCTGCATAGCAAATTCAGTGCAAGAACCATGCACAACAAAAGTAATCTTGTTTTGATTTTGGAATCAGTGGCCTTGGATACTATGCAGCCAGATGAGGCCCTAGGGTTTGGACTTCAACTGCACTTTTTGGTTATGAGAGGAAGTTGTAAGCTCTATGATCAGTGATCAGTATTTTTACTCTATCAAACCATAGCAATATATCAACTGCAAACATAAACAGTTCTCAGTTCCTTCTACAAGCAGTATTCTTCTTTGGCTCAAAGGTGGAAAATTGCCTCAAGTTGGGCTCCCACTTGTGATGTCAAGGAAGGTGATCCTCCGTCTCTTCTCCACATTCATAATATCCCACTTTGAGAGATGCATCCATCTCTGGGGGTGCTGTATAAAGAGAACCTGGACCTGTTTGGGAGGCTCCGGTGGGGGGGCCATGAAGATGATCAGAGGGCATCAATGTATGTAAGCATCTGAAGGGAAGGTGTTAAGAGCATGGAACCAGGCTCTTCTCAATGTTGCCAAGCAATCAGGCAAGAGGCAACAGGCAGAGAATGATGCACAGGAAGCTCCTGAGGAAGAACTTCTTTACTGTCTTGGTGATCCTGTACTGGAACAGGTTGCCTAGAGAGGTTGTGGAATCTCCCTCACTGGAGATTCTCAAGAACCATCTGGATGAAATCCTGTGCAAAGATGCTTATTGCAAAAGTACAGTTGGAGGAACTTGCTGTGATTTCATGTGTAATCTATAGCTGATAACTATTCCTGGGTAGAAATTCAGCAACCTGGAAATAAAGGAGGGGCAGTGGTGAAGGAAGTCTTATGGTTTACCTTAACAAATGTAACTGCCAGACACAGAATGGAAAAATCTGAGAGCAAATGTCTTTCAGCAAATAAGTTACCGCAACAGGTATTGCAAACAAACTATTAAAAAAATATGGACTAGAGAGAAAATATATCAAGGACAAGAAAATTGCTCAGAGATAGAAAATATATAATTTCCAAATTGAATATATATATATATTCCTGTCCCTAAATATTCACCATATGCTAGAAAAAGAAGCTGAGAAAACAAACCAAATATTTGCAGCTTTCCTAAAACAGCTTAACAGGTTTTAAACTGACAGTTACCTAGGGCAGAGAATTACATGCATTTCCCAGATCATTAATTCACCAGTTCAAAATCTTCTTGTGATCACGTAGGAAAGAAATTATGCTTAATTAAGGAAATATTGTCTGGTTGTTAGGGCGACCTCCAGTCTCCAGACCATAATGCGTTTCATATTACATGCTGTCAAGTCCATTCATATTCAATTTATTTAGCTGTAGAAGACAACAATGTTTTGCCTCAGATGTTGCCATCATATTAAAAGTAATTTGATTCTTTTCAGCCTATAATATGTAATTGCTGATAAACATCCAGTTGGCTACTGGCAAAGGGTATACCAAACATATTGTTTCATCTTCATCTGCTTGGTTATCTGATTTTATTGAGTTTGTAAAGGTATAGAAAGGCATCTTAGCATTGCAAACTACTACTTAAAGCCCATTTTAATGGCAAGAAACCTGTAGAAGAAATTATCATGAGGTTTTTGCCACTGTCTTTGCCAAAAAAAGTAGTTATCTGGTCAATTATTTAGATCTGTCCTGTTGCCCCTGTTGCCTCAGCATTTTTTTTTCTCTAATTCCCACAAGAACTGATTATAATGACTTTTAAATTTGGCAAGATATTTTCAGCATATGATTTGTCATACAACTGTGTTGATGCTAGAGTGGTTTTAAAAGAAATTAACAGGTAAGGAATAATGACAGAGACAAGCATGTTTTTTGTAACATTTTGAAAAACCTAAAATAAGCTGGCATACAGATTTTATTTCCTCTTCACTTTATTTGAAAGACCTTGCTGTTTTAGAATGCTTTAAGCTTTATGAACATATTTTTCCTATAAGAAAAGAAATGTATCTATTTCAGAATATAGTCTATCACAAAGAGAGAAGCTAGACTTTATGAACACTGCACACCCCCTCTATGGAAACAAACTCAAATTACAGGAAGGACACCAAATGCAGTTTATTATAAGAGGTAAAATATCTTTAAGTATTTGCCAATATCAAAAGGCATTAACAGAACAAATCTATGTTGGTGCAAAGACACATGCCACTTTTTGTCTGTTGGGTGGGAAACTGACATCAGAAATAAAAAGTGTATTAGGAGGCTTTAGGAATGGAGAGTTCACTAGCTGAGAGATGCACTAAGGGGCCAATGAGAGGATAGATTACTTGGTCACAGATTTCTGCAATAATGAACTGCATTAAAGGCTTCTATTTTATTTCAGTGTTCTAATACTGATATTGGACTTAAGAGGAAAATACCAGCTGAATAAATATTTTTTTTAAAGCTTACAGTAAGCATCTGTTTATTTTAGAATTTACTTTTTCTTTATTTAAGAAGTTTAAACAATTTAACCATACTCACTAATTCTGCTTTGTAAATACTGGTCAATGTAAAGCCATAAACTTTACAGCAGAAAACTTACTTTTCAAATTTGTTTTCAGGTATCTTGTGCAGACATATAAATACTAGGCCATTCCATCTGAAAATTTATTACCCTACTATCAATTGAATGCCTTTATGTTATCGAGAACATGTTGTTCCTCGAGATTTTATTAAATTGAGTGAAAGGATGGCTTTCCTTATACTTATCAGACAGACACATCTATCAAGAATTAATATGAAAAAAATCAACATGCGTGCTTTTTTGCAGATAAATACACTCTCTCTGCACACTGAAAAAATGATGGCCATATTTCGATTGATTTACTGTTCTGTCTAGTATGACTTGTCTGATCTCCTTGGGCTGCCTCTTACAGGCAGCAGAAAAAACAGGTCCCCTTGTCAGAACTGAGTCTGCTGAACTACTCAAAACTGGTTTGTAAGGGTCAAACTCCTATGACTGTTGCAGGAAGATTAAAGGTAACTTTGAAATCCTCTCTGTCCTTGTCATCACCTCTGCTGGGAATACTTGTTGATATTTCAAAACAAAGGAAAACTTATTTTCCCTTTCTCAGTGAAAAGGTAGCATGTGCCATGGCACTTGCCAGTTTATCAGAGATTAAATAATGATTTGAGTATAGTGAAGAAGATCAGCAAACATCAACTAAAAATGTATATTCTACAAATCTTAGGATTTGATTTAATTTCATTACATTGTTGATTTCAAAAGCTTGCTAAAAATGTGGTAAAGTGAGCAAGAAGCCCAAACCCTCCACTA